CTTGCGTTCTTATAAAAAAACAATTGTGCTTCCTTTATTTTTTTAACAATTTAATTTCATAAGTAGATAAGAGATATATATATAATTTAACAGATTACAAAAATTATATGTAATAATATGTAAAAATATCATAGACCTTATACAGTTACTGTAACTGTATAAGGTCTATGAAAAATATACATAAAATATACATAAAAATAATTATTCATTTGTTATTTTTGCTATACTACAGTTGAGTTATATTTAAAGTATTAAGTACTATTTAAATTTAGAAAAGTTTGCAAACATCGGTGTATTCAAATATCATTTCTTGATTAAACGTGTCAGTGTAGTCGATTTATTACGTGTACAGTTAAACATCTGTCTTATATGTCTTTTAAATTGATACTCGAAAACGGCATGGTGCCCTGGCATACGTGTTGCAGATATGTTACACTGGCGCAACTTCCCAGCAATGTTCGTTCCCAGCAATTTGTGGCTATTTGTGGACATAAGAAAGAAGTGGTGAGAAGAATTATAACTTATTGCAAAATATAAGAAGAAATATGAATATATTCAAGCATATAAATACTTATGCAAATAATTTGAAAATTTCATACTAAATGAGCAAGTAGTTTTATGTAAATAACTTATACTGAAATTTACACAGACGAGCGTGAATCTGTATAGTACATTATATTGAGTACTAAAATCATTTATGTAATATGTATTATTTTGTTATTATTATTATAAATATGGTTTTTAGTGATTATTTTTACCATGATTATTTATTTAAGTAAATTTAATTTTTTATTAGTTAGTATTAAATATAAAGTTTATGTATTTATATCTTGTTAGGATAGTTATACATGATTATATAAATTGTATAGAAATATGTATGTATAAACTAATATAAATGAAATAAATAAATCTTTAAAAACAAAAAATCAAGTGGCTGTCCATTAATCACGTGAGCTTTAAAGGGGGGTTACAACAAATCAAGAAATACCACGTGGGCAGGGGAGTATCTAGTAATAAGATACCACGTGTGTTTATTTTTTACATCAATTAAAAAAAACAACAAAATTAAAAAAAAATACACGTAATGTTGTGTGGGACAAGGGGGTAATTTTAAATAGATTTTAAAGACACCACGTGTGTTTATATCTTTCATCAATTAAAAAAAAAAAACAAAATTTAAAAAAATACACGTAATATTGTGTAGGGCAAGAGGGCAATTTTAAATATCACCATGTAGCACCAAGGATGATAGGGGTTCCAAAAAACCTTAAAAATCTCTCACGTGATTAATTGACGTCCCCTAAGATTGTAAATTAAATCGTTGACTGCCGTGGTCTTTGTACTTATATCGTTTTTCTATGCTGAAATTATTTATTTAAAAAATAGTTTTTTATGGTATTATTCATAAAATTGTTTTATTTAAACAGTAATTCAGTGGCGGTGGTTGCAAAAATATTTTTTTCGTCCTTTTTCTATTCATAGGAATCACTAAATAGTTGGTTGTACGTTGTAATATGCTGCTAAATTGGGTAGATTTAAAGAAAATCTGGCACTGTCGACGGCCAAGAAACATGGAAGGACAATGACTAATTATGAAATGGGATTACAAAATGAATATCTAATCTAGTTTTATACTATCCATTCAAGTTATATGTATATAACAGCTATGTCAGAAAAAAGAAAATTTTGCGATAACGCGTATAACTTTGCAATAAACATATGATTCGCATTTAGCCAAAACTACTTTTTTGCCACAGAGATTGCTTCACTCTGATCGTATTTTAACATATTTTGTGACTTTGATTATGTGACTTTGAACTTCTTTATGAGACACATTTATTAACTTCAGATATTTGATTTTATATGCTTAGAATGCGTCTGTTCTCTTGTCCCACCTATCATAGAAAAAAGACAATAACTTTTGTATGATTTTATCATTGTTTTAATACTTTCAATATTTTTGAATAATAGCAATCAAATATCATTAGCTTCAAAAATGGTTTATTATATTGTCATATTTTGTACTAAATGTAATCAGAAATTCTTCATTATTTAATTATACAGAATATATTAAAAGCATATTTCAGATACATGTTGAGAACCTATAAATCAAAAATATTTTTCAATAAAGAATTAATTATTTTAATGATGATTCACATTCAGATAATTAAATAATTTTAAAAATAATTAAATTGGGCTAAAGATGAAAAATATGTGGAAAACAACTTCTAAAGTTTGCAGAACTTAGAACTTTTATTCTCGACTTGGTATAAAACGATAAGACAAGATTAATTTAAGATATATATCTATTAAGATTAATTCGATTAATATGATCTTGACAACATAATGTTACTGAAAATTTTTGAATTATTCGGTTACAAGCTGCTGATTATTAATGTTAATTGATATGAGATTTTAATTCCAGAGCGTTAAATAAAATACAGTAATATGATCATCAATTTTACATAATCATGACCATTTATATTCTATCAACAGTAATGGCAGAAAAACCTACGAATCCTAAAAGAACGATAAATAATACGTATACGTATATATGTGTTAACACTATTAATTGTTAATAATAAAGATATATTTAAATGATATGAGAAAACTTACTTGTTTCGAAAATTTTGCGTTAGTTATCTAAGTCTGATGAGTTTGGCGCTTTATTCAAATATAGCATTAACAACTGCAGGTATGTTTTAGTACTTTAGTAGTAAAAAAAGTACAGTACATAAAACTAATAATTAATGGTTCAAATGTTTAATAAACTGATAAAATTTAATGGATTCAATATTCAACATTTTACACAAAAATTAACAAATAATAATGATTCTTACATACGATAAATGATTTCAATTGTCCGTTATAAGTTTGCGATATATTAACTTTGTATATGAATTTTCAATTAAAATTGATAATTAATATCATAACCACCAGTATTTATAGATATAGTATATGCGTATAAAGCCGCACATATTCAATTCATATCAAACATACCCGAATTTAAGCATATTTAACTTCCCGTAGGGTAAGTTATAGTAATCGCAAAAAAATCGAAAATGAAAATTTTTATATATCTTTACGTTTCAGAGGTTTCTGAACATTTTGGCATACCTTAGAAAAAATGGATGTATGTGTGTGTGTGTGTGTGTGTGTGTGTGTGTATGTATGTGTGTGTATGTATGTGCGGATACAAATTTTCGTCGACGATTTCGGGAACACGGATCAACCGATTTGAATAATTCAAAAAACATTCGATTTGTACTGATAAGGAGACGTGCTGATTAGTTTTTGGCGAAGTTAGGTCTAGCCGTTCCGAAGATACGGGGCAAAAAGTGCCGAAAACGGTAACTCAGTTTTTAAGAGAACGGAGCGTCCGATTTGAATAATTCAAAAAACATTTTACTTGTATTGGCAAGATGAAGAGTTGATCAAATTTTCATGAAGGCAGGTCTAGCGGTTTCGGAGATCTAATGAAAAAAGTAAAAAAAAATGCCATTCGGCGGTTAAAAATGATGATTAGACATATGCACATCAAATTATCAGATATTGTATAGAAATTTTAACAATAAGTATAATTTTTTTTTACATTTCTATGGGTTCCGTACCAATGTTTATGCGTTAGACGGCGGCGCGGCACTTGCGCTGTGACAATTCGTCTCTATGCAGTTCAAGCAGTACGATTGCTTTGAAAAAAAGTTCAGAATTTCCAAAATATGTCAAAATGAAGAAAACATTTTTCTTTTCAAAAAAATAGTTTGCTTTCAAAAAAAAAAATTTCTTTCAAAAAAAATTTTTTTTTTCAAATAAAAATTTTTTTTTCAAAAAAAAGTAATTTTTTGTCATATTCCTAGTTTCTCAAAAATCTAATTATTTCGAAGTAAATTTTTTTCAAAAATGTTAATCGTTTTTAAAAAAATAATAATTTTTGGTACGGGAAGTTCCAGCAATTTGCCTTAAGGCACGATGCCTTAATTGCCTTAAGACAGAATTCCACTTACAGCTAGTTTATTTATAATATTTATCACATTATTATTGCCATCGTATTATTACCATATTGGATTTATACGATTTTTTGTTTTTGCACTTTTGCAAACGCTAAGGACTTCACAACAAATTATCGCAGCGTTATTAGGAGAACAGACACGTTTTTGAATTTTATTTGACTAGGACTATGTAAAAGGTGGATACATGAATAGATGGGAACAAATGTATTATTGAGAAAGCGGTTGCATTTAAACAGTAAATATCAGATCAATTTAATCAAAAAAATATGGTTTATTTTCATATTTTTTTACATTTTAAGACTTTTTAATAATTTTAGAGTACCTCAGTGCAAATGACCTTTTGACCGTGTTCGTGCATTATGTATTGTATATTTATTTATTTTAATTATTTATAAACCTATGATTCGTAGTGCCAAAAGTAGATTCAACAGTTTCGGAAATTTGCAGGCAGGATACTTTTGATGTTATAATACCATTTGTTTAAAATAAAATGTATATGTTATTCATTGAATATTTTAATTTTGATAATATTTATGTATATTCGGCAAAATTTTCGCAATTTAGGTATGAATACGTACTTTTTTACATTTTTTACATTACAAGTTTTTGTAATAAAGATTGCTGAATTAATTGTTTTGTGTAAAACAGATTTGCATATATAAAACATTTTGTTGTTTGCCAAATGTATTAATTATATTGCATTAAATAACATTACAAAAGAAAAACTACTAGAATAAAATATTAATTAATTAATTAATTAAATGAATTAATGAATAACATATTAATTACATTTTCAAACTATCAAACATTTGAAACAAAATTACATGAGTATCGATAACAAGTAATTACCTAAAAGTTGTGATTAGTAAGCAATAATATATACATTCTTTTTATCTACGAATAATAAATAGAAACGATCCATTAAAATTACATATTCTACTTCTTTCGCAATACCAACGATCGTTTTTTCGTGAATTGACGACAGTGAGCGGTTTCTTAATGTTTTATTGCTAGCGTTGCTTCATATGTCATCCATCACATTTCAATAAAATCATTATTTCAGTAAAATGTCTGATGATTCTCAAACAAGTCCCAGTTTATTAAATTTACGTCAATATCGTTTTAAAAAGAAGCCGCCCAGGATTTCGGATTTGGATTCATGTAAGCATTATGTGGTCAATTAGTGTATATTAAATTATAGAAACTTTTAGGTTATGCAATGAAGAATATTGAAAATTATTTATTTAAATAGTAATAATATATTTTTAGCCAGTGAAATTCAACAAAATACAATATCAACGAGTTCGGACTTGGACAATAATGATACACCAACGGAAGATGACAAAAAAGATGCAACAACCAACCAACCAACTGTTAAACAAGAACCTGATGTTAAAAGTAAAGAAAAACATCTTCGAATTTTGGTGTCTGAATTCCCACATATTGATACAATGGTAAATGATTTATTTAAATATATTTTTTACTGTAAACTGTACATATTGTCAGCTTGTTATGTCAGTAAAATGTCATTTTATGTTTGTCGAACGATTAAGAAGATAGCATACCTGGATGAATTTGTTATTTTAATAACAAAAGCCTGATTATTCTTTTTATTATATCCTTAATATTTCGAAGCTAAATTAATCTTTGTATCTATTGGCGTAAAACATTATATATTTCTTTTTGGTTTTAATTAGAAATATTTGAACAGTGGTTTGTCATTTGACATTTTTATTCATAATTCAATGAGTTGATTAAAGTTACATCAAACATGACTACTAAACTTGAGATTTATAAAAAGAATTTGAATTACATTTGCAAACTACTCTTAATTTCTATCTAATTATCAATTCTATTATATATTCATACTTTAAATAGACGTTTGCAACTCAATATTAACCCTTTTAATATAAGTTGAAGTTTATATATTTTAGTTTTTCAAACGTGTATGTCGATTTTGTATTTATTGATTTAAACCTCTAAGTGAGGTTATCTCAATTTGTTAATAAACATACAAATGAATATTAGTTATTATTAGAATTATATAAGCACTCATATATGATTACATATTAATATTAAAATGTTTATATACCACACATGAAAATAATTCTACATATATTTCATGATTTTTGCATTTAATATGCTTCAAAAAGTGGTATTTTGTTGTAATTATTATATCCTTCATGTTTAAACAACAACAGTATACTTACAATGAAGTTTTAGTTGATAAAATGTTTATTTTTTCTAATAATACTTCTAGACATTGCAAGATACACTTTTAAAAGCTAATTGGGATTCTGAAGCGGCAAAACCCATGCTTGCTAATTATGTACCACCACCAAAACATTCCTATAGAAAATCTAATTATTTTCAGAACAGGACCATAGAGGTAAATTAATTATTAATTCTAATTGTACTTATATATATTTAATATAAATATATAACAATAGTCCAGTAGTTTCAGCATTCATATCTAATGCATGTTTTATTGATATTGTATATTTATAAAAGTTATACTATATATTTATAATTGATATACAACAATATATAAAAAATTACAGTTAATAAAACATAAATACAATTGGATATACTTATGTAGTATATTCATTAGCTTTCACATTTTACAAATGATATATGACAATATTTGGAATATGTAAAATTTTTAACATTACAATCTCATTTGAGAATTTTGATTCATACTTATGAATTTGTACATATGTATATGTATATGTTTATATATTAGCATATGATATTAAATGCAGTTAACATTTAAAAGTATATTTTGTTGAAACACACAATAATTATATGTATAATATGTAAAATGCTTGCTGCAATGTAAATTTTATTTAAACTGGGTTTTACATTTTTCAGAGTGAAAATGGCCATCAGAATAATCATTCAGTATCAAGTTTAAAAAGAGAACCTCCATCAAATAATGGACCAAAGAGGAAACGATTAAGAAGGACCGTTGATAGTGATGACAGTGAAGATGAAGCAAGACATGAATCAGAAAAGGTTTATGATAGGTACGCGATTGATTATCATGATGATTACATTATTTTTAGTAAATCTATTTTAAAAATTGATGCATGTCAATAGACCAAATCTATTTGTGTAACACATGTTGAATATAGCTTTGAACAATTTACCTTAATTTATAAGTGGCTAAAATGATATTTATGAAGCATTTTTTATTATTCTGGTAAAAATCCAATATAAAATTATTTTATTTCAGCGATGAAGATTCAGATGTAGAAGTTAGCGATAATCTCACAGGTGACAGGAAAAAAGTATTTGACTTCTTAAACACAGCAAATGCTAATGAGCTCCGCTTGATGGCCAGTTGTTCTCAGAAGAGAGTTGATAATATTTTATCAGAAAGACCGTTTAAAGGATGGCTGGATATGGTAATTTTTATTTTGAAATCATTATTTTTGCTGGTTTATTTTATGTAATCATTTATAAAGGAATTAATTCTGTATTACAACTTTATAATTGAAATTAATAGAAAGTAAAAATATCGATTATGATGAATTTTTAAATTCCTTAAAAAAATAAATAAAAATCCTAACCTTTTTTTAATAATTGAAGGAAGATTTCTTGTATTTTAACTAAGGCTTTTTTTTGTCTATTTTAGGTCAACAAATTCCAAGAGAATAAGTATTTAACAACAGATATTTTGAATTCTGCTCAACACTTAATTTCAAGTCGCAATAATTTGCAAAGATTAATGTCAAAATGCAGTGCTATTTCGCGAAATCTTGAAATTGCTGTGGCCAATGGTGCTGGTGTAAAACAACAACCAGAAATTTTAAACTCAAGGTGAATATACTAATCAAACTGATTGATTAGATTAGTTTTTTTTTTTGTAAACAATGTAATTAATTCAAAATAATTTTTATTTTAGTATGAAATTGGCTGGTTACCAACTTGTTGGATTAAATTGGTTAGTTGCAATGCATCAACAAAATATGAATGGAATTCTGGCTGACGAAATGGGTTTAGGAAAAACTGTACAGGTGATAGCATTCTTAGGTTATTTGAAGGAAAGGTGTCTATCAACCGGAACACATCTAGTAGTTGTTCCTGCTTCAACGTTAGGTTTGTTTCCAATTTTATATTGAATGATGAACTAATGTAACTTCTTAATCAAAATATTTTGCAATACTTTATCAAATTGAATTTTTATTAAAATAGCATGAGTTTTAGATGCATATATTTATTTTAACAATAATTTGATTGTTTATTCATATAATTTTTACCAGAAAAGTTATTACAATATTTAATCAAAAAATTGTTTTTACAGATAATTGGAGTAATGAGTTTGAAAGGTGGTGTCCTATGTTAAATGTTGTTATGTATTATGGAAGTCCTGATGAAAGACGTATGTTACGAATAAACTGGGTCAAAGGAGGTTTGAGTGAAGTTGATGTTATTTTGACCACATACACAATGGTTAGCAGTAGTCCTGAGGAGCGGAAAATGTTTCGTGTTACACAAATGCATTATGTTATATTTGATGAAGCACACATGTTGAAAAACATGAATACACAGAGATATGACAATTTGATTAAAATAAAAGTGAGTATACAGAACAACTTTTATTTCTTCTTGTTTGATATATTTTACTATTTATCTACTACAAATAATGTAACTAGTTTATATGAAAATTACATAGTATTTTGTGTATAATTGAACAGGAATAGTATTATGGAAATTTTATAACTTTTTGAATTTACTTTAGGAATGATTTATCTAGTAATATTTTCTAATTATTTTATAAATTAATAAAATAATAAATATTTAAAATAATAAAAATAATATTTATTTGCAGGCTTCAAGACGAATATTGCTAACTGGGACACCTTTGCAGAATAATTTGTTAGAGTTAATGTCACTTTTATGTTTTGTTATGCCTTCTTTATTTGATTGCCAAAGGGAGGATTTGAAAAGTTTATTCCAGAAAAATTCAGTAAGTCTTTTTTTTCTTTATTGAGGTAATATTTTGTTAATTTCATTGCACATTTATTTTATTTGACTGGAAATGATTTATTCAATACTGATAATATATTTCCACATATTTGTCAATAATGATTTATATTTTTCTCATGCCTTTTGTCTAGAAAACTAACTCAACAGTGAAGAAAGGTGAAGATGATGATGATTTGCCACTTTTTGAACAAACACAAATAACACAAGCTAAAAAGATTATGAAGCCGTTTGTTCTGAGAAGACTAAAAAGAGATGTTCTTAAAGATTTGCCTAAAAAAACTGATTACACTGAACAAGTTCCAATGACACCTTCTCAAAAACTTCAATATGAGCAATTAATTCAAACCTTTTCCTCAGAAACCGGAGAAGTATGTTTTTGATAACAATTTTAAGAAATACATATATAAATTTTCTATTACATTATCATCTAGAAATATTGATCTTTAGTTATTTGTATGCATTTTATAATGTTCCTATGTAGTAAGCTTAAAATGAGTTTACAAATAATGAATGTAATTTAAACAACTTTATAGATACATGCAAATAAAGAAAGTAGTGGAATGACTATGATGATGGAAATGCGCAAATTGAGTAATCATCCAATGCTTTTGCGATACTATTATGATGACAATAAATTGCAAACAATTGCAAAAAGACTTGTTGCTGATTCTTTCTATAAGGGTGATAACTATGATTATGTTTATGAAGATCTACTGTTTATGTCTGATTTTCAGATACATCAATTAACTATGCAATATAAGGTAACAATAGATTATTATAATTACAGGTTTATACATTTTTATAAAATTGTGATTATGCTATTTCAGAGTATATGTGGTATGAATGCTCCAGACGATTTGATTGTGAGTTCCGGAAAGTTTGCATATCTTGATAAAATGTTAGAAAAATTGAAAAGTGAAGGACACAGAGTACTAATATTTAGTCAATTTGTACTAATGTTAGATGTACTTGAGTCTTATCTAAAAATACGTGGTTATAGTTATTTAAGATTGGATGGCAGCACTATGGTCACCGAGAGGTATTTTTAAAAAAAAAATTTATTAGAAATCAATTTCTTATTTAAGGTTCCACAACAATAGAAAAACTTCACTCTGAACGTTTTTTAATTACAATTTATTTTATTTTTTTAGACAAGAATTAATTGACAGATTTAATGAAGATGAAGAAATTTTTATATTTTTATTATCTACAAGAGCAGGCGGGCTAGGTATTAATTTAACTGCAGCTGATACTGTGATTATACATGATATTGACTTTAATCCATACAATGATAAACAAGCCGAAGACAGGTAAAATAATATAAAAATATATCTGCTAAACTTGTTCGCAATTTATAAGTGTTGTTTTTACAGATGCCACAGAATGGGCCAAAAGCGGCCAGTAACTATTTATAGATTAATTAGTAAAGGAACTATTGAAGAGGGTATGCTTCAAGTTGCTAGAGAAAAACTCAATTTGGAGAGAGAAGTGACCACCAACACGGGTATGATTTTTTTTTTTTATTTTTAAGAACAACAATATTTATTCAAAAATATTTCAGAGAATGATCCTCAAGAAGTAAAAAATGTTGTGCGATTACTCACACTAGCGCTGGGCGTCGATTCAAATAAAGCTGCCAATCTTTTAACTCCATCGCCGAGAAAATCGGAATCCTAATTGCAAAAGCCGACTACTATTTAGCACACATTATGAATTTTGATCTTTTAAGTTTATTAGTTAATTGATGATTATTTAAAAATATAGGTATTTTTATATAATTTATGAATTTACTGCAGCGCACAATAAAATACCGTTTTACTACTCGAACTGTTATTCATTTTAATATTGTTTGCCCTTTATCTAAGTGCATTTTCTTATAGATCATATCTGTCGTGTTGCGAGTTTAATGAAAACTGCACAATGGTTACACAGGATTAAAATGGTGAAAAGATTAACTTTTGTCTCACTGGTTCGTTCTCTTTTTGTATCATTATGATAGTAAAATCAACTATTCGTGTATTTTATTGCCTTCTAAGGGATCATTCAAGTATTACGTAAGCAGATTTAGTACAATTATTTACCCCGCCCATCCCCCTTGTCGGCAAAAGGAAGCAAAGCTGTCACCAAAATGCCACCCTCATAATAAGCAAATCAAAATCAAAATAATCAACGGCTTGAAAATGCGGAGATTTTTTCAGGGGTCTTGATGCAGAACAAATTGCTATAATTATAAATATGTGATTGTGCTATTTTAAATTCTAATAGAATTTTGTTTGTGATAGTAATTACTCACTTTGCGAGAAGTGTGTTCACTTGAGTTAAACTTACTTGTGTGGAACTTTAAAGCTCGACAGTAGATATCATCGATATATGTCGTCTGATCAAGATTTAAAAACGCGTAAGAAAAATGATAGGCGTTCGAAAATATTTTTGAGCGTATTTTTTTTATTTTCTATCTAAAGTTTTTCTTTTTGGTTTTACCTTGGCTGTTATTAAACATAAACAACGAAAGCGGTTGGTAATTAGTTAGCTATGATAACAATAACGTTAAATCATGTTTTCTGATTTACTAGAAAGCTCATTAAATTTACGTGTCTTACAAATATTTAATTTATTTATAAATTTTTTGAAATTACAGTTGAAACTTTGATTAACCATCAGACTAATTGTTGTTGATATGCATTCGGATAATCAAAAATCCGGAAAATCGAATGTATGAAGAATAATGTAGTGCATTCATTAAAAATAACAAATACATAAATAAATATCAACGAAAATAATGTTTATTAAGAAATTGAAACTTTCTTATGTATGTACCTATGTACATATATATTTTCTAAGATTACATCACATACATATACTAAATTGTAGCATTAATCGGTGCAAAAATTCGAATTGTAGGTATGTACATACATAAAAATTGGTCGCAGTCGGTAGTTAGGATAATTGCGAATCCGTACAATTGAGGTCCGGATAAACGAGGTTCTACTGCATTAACATATTAATTTTGAAGAAAAAATTTTAATTAAAAATTACTTCGTTAAGCAAGAAGCTATTTATATTACGGATGTTAATTTTGAGCTTCAAGGAGTTGCTGAAAAACGGTTTAACATTACTAAATGAATTCAAATTAATAATAAAATTGTCAGTTCAAACATTGTTTCAATACATACATGCAATGCTCTTAATAGTACGATTTTGATTGATAAATATTAGATTTTTTGTTTAATTCAGTTTTATTATATATTTGTTGGTAATGCATCTCGAAATAAACAATTTATTCATAAAAATAGTAATTATCAAAATCAAAGCTAACATTTCATAAAAAAATATGGTCATCAGCATCGAAATTATATATTATCTTACACATACTTGTAATCAGAATGATTTTAAATATGATAGTTTGTACTAAATTATAGATCTTTAAAATTATACATTAACTTATAAACTACAAATTGTTTCGTACATTGCCTGATATAATTCACATTTATATTGCTCTGTTATAATATATACTTATTCTTACATAGAACAATTTTCTAATTACTGCGCGAAGTCGATTCTCGACTCAGATTTAACGCCAATTTAGATTGTAAACAAGTTTATTTGTATATTCTAAATATGGGACAAACATCTTTGCGTTCTATTTTCGGATATAATACTTTAGGAATTGCCGTGTTTGACCAATCTCCAGGAAATCGATCTCCGCTCGATTTATTGCATTGCATCCCTAAACTTTCTGATGTATACAATTCATTTAAAAATTCCACCCGAATTGGCGACCAGTCTATCGAGTGGTAGTTTGCATTTATCCCAAGCTGCTCACTAGTTGGCTGATTTTCGTACCTGGAAGTAAATGAGAAAGGCAATCGTTCATTGATAGTGAAAACGTTAAAAAATCTATTATTGTTATCAAGCTTTATATTTTAATTTAGTAAAATCGATAAAGAATGTGATAAAACAAATGATCAGCTTGCTCTTGCTTAATAACGCAATTGTTATTAAGGGTTACCAGCGAGCGCTTGCATTTTTGTTTAAAAATTTGAGAATTTAATTACAGATAAATTCAGGCAAAATGTTAGAATTATATATAAAGTACTATTTCATTTAGCAAATTTGTACTTTATCCACCTACTTGTTCATATATCTGAAATAAGTTTGCAATGCATGATCGCTAATGGCGCTTTTGCAGACTTCCAATTCGGTTGCCGGATAATAATGTATGTAGTTTACACACATTTCGTCACTAATAGCAAATCCTCCTAAGGTTACATTTTTCAAGTGGTCAGTCCGATATCCACAAGTTGTTATTAAAGCATCGCCCTGAAAGACAAAAAAACTTAAGACGTTGAGTGCCATGCGGTTTTATAGCAACTGTCTGTTCAGGCCGAGTTTCAATAGTGCGAAAATACTGCAAATCATACATATTTTCGTGAAAAATAGCACGAAATTTGACCAAACAGTTTATAACATTCACGACAATGTTTTTAAATAACATTTAATAAGTATTCACGCACCCTTATGCGGTGGTTTTTCGAGTAACTGTTATTCTATTTTAAATTTAAACAGATAAGTTCCTTAAATTTATTTTAAGGAACCTATCTGTTTGGCACATATAAACTAATCTAGAATATAGATCAATTCGGCCAGTAAATAAATTAATAATTTTTTAAGTTCTACGGCATGTGAACTCAGTCATCAGAAATATTTTCTCTATTTCAGAGAGTTTCAAGATAGTATATATTTTTCAAAATTCTTCTACTATTTCTAGTGTAAATTATTATCTAATGAGAAGTGTTTTTATTAATCTAGATTAATAAAAATACTTCTCAATAACAGTTGTTATTATAAGTGTTGCGATTTTTAAAAAAAAAATCAGGTCAATTAAGTTTTTATTAAACATTATATTTATAAAAGTAAATTTAAAAAGTAAATTCAAACAATATCACATTGTTTGAAATATTTGAATAATTTGGTGAATGTAAGCAAAAAGAAGTGTACCGGTTTAATATTCACTAGTCGTTTGAGTCTTCTAATTTCTTGAAAGTGTGTACTATAGTGCGCATCAGCATTCAGTTCCGGCAATTCCTGTCCATTCCGGATGTGCCTGGTTTTTACCCAAACTCCGGTCAGATGTGTATGCAATTGGGAACCAAATACCGTTATTCCTTCCGCAGGTAAGCTCTTCATGTAAGAATTTTACATTTTATATTACATAAATATTATATATATATATATATATATATATATATATATGTGTGTGTGTGTGTATTTTTTATATCATTATAGTAATAAATTATAATTTATTATTAATTAGTGAACGCTGTAATAAAGCTCATGGAAAGATATGAAATCTAGATGTAAACTGGTACCTCAACATACTAATTAATTCTAATTACGTACAATTTTAGTACAACCAGATACGCAGTATCCTGATAAAGCAAACTCCTTTTGACCTGGAGGAATTGCCATTTTGTCGGTATATTCTAGACCGAGTTCCATAACGGCTGCATTTAAAGGTCGCATGTTTGTCGTAACCCATAACCTCATGCCGCTGCTATCAACGTAATCTATATCAAAAATAGACGTATCACTAAGAATTGCAATAACATTTGTCAAACCAGAAATTACCTCCTCTGAGTTCAGGGTTGTTATAATGTACCTCCAACATTACGTACAGGCTAAAATTACTGCCACCAATTGGGAGACCTGCTTCTTCGGGATAAACGAATGGTCCGGCGCCCATCGCCCACGCGGCGATGACCTTAATTAGAAACAAAATTTGTTATTCGATATTGTTGTTGTTGTTGTTGAAATTGGCAAAATGCAGATACTAAAATTCGGTTTAAAACAAGTATGATGATGATTTTATTGTCGTTCTGCACATGCCCAAAGATTGGGTCAAATTTTGCAAAATCCTGTTTTGGCTCATTCAGAGCGCCCCAATAGTGTCCAAATGTATGACCGACCCCTACTAACCTTGAAAGGCCGATCTACCCATGGTTCACCCCCTGGGATCTACCCTTAGAGGTTCCCATACAAAAATTGCTTCATTTATGGTACTTCAACATGACAAAAATCAGCAATTTATTTTTATCATAAAATTTATTTAATCATAACATATTGTAAATAAAACGATATAAAACTTATAAATTATTGCTTGAAGTCCTTTTTGGTTTCAAGTCTGGAAAATACAGTCAGCCTTTACCTAGCATAGAAACGCAGAGACAAAATGCATTGTAAAAATTGAAACAAATAATTTTAATAATTTTTTTTTTGAAAACAGTTTTTTGCGTATGTATTAATTACTGTGGTTTTAAAACAAAACATTTTTGGCTGAGTAAAATATCAAGAACGATGATTTTTTTGCAATTTTATATAGGTGTTGAACGATGGGCATGGGTGGATCGGCCTTTCGAAGTTAGTGGGGCGTCGGTCATACATTTGGACGCGATTGGAAGCACTCTTAATTGGTCAAAACGCAATTTTTCAAAATTTAAACCCTTATCTTAGGGTCAATGCACGGGACATCAGAATTCATTTTAGAGGCATGTTTTCTTTAACTAAGTATCTTAATTTGATTCATAGAATTCGAAAATCATATGTGCCTATGCGACTTTTAAATTGGCCCGACCTAATATTCATATTTTTAATTATTCCTTAATAATATTTTTAAATAATTTTTAATAAAATAGCAATAAGAAATGACTTCGAAATAGCACTAGCGCTTAACAAAAGTATTTGATACTGTTCTAAAATAATTTTGTTCTACGAGTTTTATGTTATCATGCTTATAGCGATTATATTAAAATATTTACTTTTTTGCAAACTTGTGTTTCAGCAGGTCTGTCGTCTGCTTGACAGGGTCCTACATATAAAGGAATATCCTGATCTGGCGGTGCCTCGCAGTGAAAAACTTCCATATGATGCACCAATCCTTCGTTGCCTTTCTGAATTACGGCTTCGAACTAAATAGTAAGTGTTAATATATTTTAATTCATAATAAACTAATATTTATTTCGTAAATCAATGATATATTATAAATTTTTAAAACAAACGTTTTCACTTAATCTTTTTTTGAACAATCGATATTATTTTTAGACGTTTTTTATTTATCGTTAATATTTTTGAGAAATTACCATTACTTTATTATTGTAAAATAACGAGATCAGTTTCATATCTCATTCGAAAGATTTTTTTCAAAAAAATTAACCTTCAGGGCAAAGAATGCATAACAATATTTTCTATTTTTTCATGTTTGAATGGTAGACCTCTGAGTACGTAGATCATTACGCTTAAAATACAATTTGAATTTTTTTACCTCCACAACGTGATGTTTTCTAGTCAAACTGGCCGGTAATTTTTGTACATGGCACCAGTATGTCGTTTCATCTGCAGGAACTTTTACTTTAGAAGCTTTCACTTCTAAGTTTTCAGCATCCGCTGGTGGTCCTGGTGGAACATCTGCTCTAATCAATTGGGCGCGTACCATACCACGATCTATTGATTTCCCTTCAGTCACATTTATCCCTGATGGGCTTAAAATGAGACCCCTACCTCTGGCCCATACTATGTGTGTGGTACCACCCTGGAAAGAGATATTCGAAATAGTTTTGAATCACTAATACTAAAAGGTTATAATAGAAAATAACTTGATCTGTTCAAAGAATTTTCTTAAAAAAAACTTTTTTAATAATAAATGTTTAAAATTTTTAATAAATAAATGAAGTTAAACTAGTGGAGCATGGCATCGTGACAAATTGCTGGAACTTCCAGCGCCGTAATTTAAACTTTTTAAAAGCTCGGAAAAGAAAATTTTGATTCTTCTGAATTCTCTGAAATAATGTTGAAAACATTTGAAATAATTGAAAAAAATGCCGGTTTTGAAAACTATGAAAGATTTTTTGAATATACTGGTATTTTTCAAAAACTTAAAAATTTCTTGAAAATTACTGATACCCATTCATGCTGGTTGATCGATTCTGCCAAAAATATCTGATTTTCGACCGCCAAATGGCATTTTTTAAAACTTTTTTTTTGTAATAGATAGTCTTGTCTTTGCAAAAATTCAATCATCGTGCGCACACATACTCATCCATTGTTTCTAATGCCAAAATGTTCAGAAATTTCTGAAACGTAAAAATGCAGAAATTTCATTTTTGACCTTTGGACGATTACTAGACTTACCCTACGGGAAGTTGATAAAAATATAAAAAATGCATAATATTCAAGAAATTATTTTTATTATATAGTATTAATACCTATTTAGTAAATTATCCTTCACTATTACCTCAAACGCAATATTATTCAATTACAATTGCATACTGTGAAGCCATAGTAGCAAAATTGAGTGCAATCAAGAATGTATATTCACATAGAAGCAATTTGTGAATCAAAATAATTAAATCACCAAGTAAATAACTCCATAAGAAGCTTATTTTTTTAATACTCATATCTTTCATTTGCAATTTCAACGTAAACTTATAGTAGTTTCATATACTAAACTGATGGCTCCAAATATAAATAATATAAAAAAATTAAATGACCATGTTTTATATTATAATTATGGAAAAAAAATAGTACGAACTTATATGAAATATATAATGTTATTTGATTAAGCTGCGGAAAAATTAATTCAAATAAGTGATTATTTATTTTATATATAAAGATTTTTAAAAACTCATCTTATTTTTTTAGTATTTTATAGCTCGACTATGCGTATACTTTTTTACTAAATTTTTAAGTTTGTACTAGGCTCGTTTTTTACTTAATTTGGGCTTGTGAACCTACAAAAACTTATATGTACCTATATACTATATTTAGGTTATTGCGTAATATTGTTACGAAACTAATTGACGATTTTTATTTTTATACATAATCATTTTTTTTTTTTTCATTTTTTTAGATTTTTTTCCATTTTATCAAAATAAGATACTTCAAAAAAATTCGATTTTACAAAACTTTTCAAAATAATTTTGAAACGATATTTAATTTAAATGTTTAAATAATATTGGTTTAGATCAACGGATTGACGGTAAAACCAAATACAGATTAGAAGTTTTCTCAGAACTCTTACAATTTTTACTGATTTTTGTAGAAACTATCTGCTTTATTGGCGAAATTTAATAGTAATTCTGCGTTCATATATATTTCGAGTAATACATTTTCTTCTAAAGGTACATCAATATGCGTTTTTTGGCACCAATTCATATTCTGCCGAGCGGATATTAATTCCATCTAATAAAACGAACGTCATTGGGTTAGAGTCGGCTGGAACGCATAGTTATGTGAGGAATTTTAGCAATCGATTTGCGGGGTAAGAATTCTCCGTGGTGCCGATTAACTGTAGATGGGTGAAGATCTTTATTAAAAATACTTGTCTTTCACCCACAAAGAAAAAATTAGAGAACAATTATATTACACAATTTTAATATATTTTTTATATACCGTTTTTTATATTAGGTTTGCCTGAATTCTCTTGTGAAGAAGTGTTGCAATTTTCAAAATTATTAAAAAAAAAAGTATAATTATAAAAATTTAATTTTATAATTCGCACATCTTTGAGTGTGCATATAATATTTCTCAATACCAATAGAAAAAATCTTTTATCAAATTTTTTTTAATGTATGGTTATGGATTTATCGATTCGATATACCAATATTATTGGACGAATTGAGTACTGCTTCTAGTAACAAATATTGAAAAGTAATTTTTTGTTTACTATAAGTGTTTTTTCTTGTTAATATATGTTTTTAATATAAAAAATACAGTTTTCTCATTCATAACATATTGTTTTATATTTAAGCATACTTGTTGTATTGTATTTTTATCATCTGATGGGTAGTTGTAATTTTATTACAAAGTGATTGCGAAAATTCAACTATAACCTATATTTTGCGAAAACCCGGAACAATCCGAAACAAAAAATCTTCGCTTCGGAACAAATATTGCTCTCAAAAAAAAAAACAGGACACAAGGTGAAATTCGGGACTGTCCCGGCCAAACCGGGACATACGATCACCTTAGTTTTAATTATTATTTGTTGCGATGATTTTTTTAATAGTTATTTCATGGCAACTCAATAGTTGGTTTATTCTAGTATTAAATTTTCTATCTTTTTTTTTAATTACGATGATTTTTTTAAAACGTTTTACGGTAATTCCCAGTAAAGCTCTACCGCTTACGTAACGCACTTCCCAATCAGAATTTTTAAATACTAAAGTATGATTGTTTGTTTAAAACAGTATTTAAAAATATTACAGAGATAATTAAATATGTACAGAGATAATCAATATTGAGAGCTAGATGTAAATAGCATGTTGCTTTAGGGCTAGTATTTAATGAGTATTGAGATTTATAAACTTTGTAAATCTTATAGAGTTTCATCGAATGGCGTTAATTGTTCAAATCGGTGCAGCTGTTTTTGAGAAAACATCAACAAAAGGTCACACACACATATTTATTATAATTTTGTTGTCAAAATAATTAGAATGACTTGAAACTTCTCGAAAATATTAAATTAGAGAATCGGATCATTTGGCGAAAACAAAAACTTTTTTTTCAGAAAGTTAATACATAATGAAGTAAAGTATTTGAGTCATTATTGAAAGACAACATATGGCAATCAAAACGAATATAAAACTACTCAAAAATAAATTTTATACTTAACTTAATTTACAATAATTTAAATTTAACGTGAATATTGTACAATATCTTGTGTTTTTATATAAGCAAATTCTTTTAATAATATTTCAAACAAATGCATTGAATTTACTCACATCTATAGTGTAATCGTAATCCTGAATATCGCAAGTATTCAAATGGCGTTTCCATCTTATATATCCATTGCTGTTCCGCACAGGAAAACAATCTTGTTGATAGTCCACATGTAAAATTCCATGTTCATCTGACCAAGTGTCCTAAAAAATATAAAAATTCAATTTATAGGTAAAAGATCTAGAGATTTTGGTAACAAGTTGACGTCCAATTTTATCGGAATTAAGTGAAATAAAATTCGTATGAAATCACGTTATTTAAAAATACTAGTCGAAGGTAATAAAACATATTTCCAGCTTTAATTATTAAACTCAAAATTATTGATGCTTATTATGATATCTGTACTTAAATATTTGTAATTTAATATTTGTAATTTTATTCGGATAGAAGCCAGAAAAAGATAATTAAAATCTTTTAAGATCATATGTAATCATATGCCTTGGAACTTTTGGGGTGAATGACCAAGTTTTTTTTCTTAAATGAGAGCTTGATTTCAGTAATTCAATAATCGATAACCGATAGCCAATTTTGTCTTGGTTATCTTCAGCCGTTCCTTCGTGACTATTGAAAAAGTAAAGTTATTGAAACTTCATACTAGAAAAAATATAGAACCTATGCTAAAAATATATTTAATTTCAGAGAAAAACAAGAACTATTTAATATTAATGGTGGGTAAAATTTTATTTATGTGCAGATTTTGCGAACAAAGATTCCAGAAATCTCATCTACAATGTAATTAGAGAGGTACTATTTACAACGACACAGCAATATTTAAAAAAAGATTATAACACGATTTGTTATTATTAGGTGATGTTTATTATTAATGTACTGTAAAATTTTTCTTCAGTTTATAATATAATAAAAGAGTTTGCGGACGTAAAATTAATTGAATTTCAAATTTATATTTCTAGTCCTTTTATAGCGTAATAACTGTTAACAGTGTTACTACAAAACTGCATCGTTTGGATTTATTAATGCACAAATTGATACTAAAACTGCGATTTTATTACAGAGATGCAAGTTTGATTATTTTAGCGGTAAGAAATCGATAATATATATCAATTGCATAAAATGCTGTGTTTTAGAACTATGCGTTTTTAGGCACAGTTTTGAAATTATGCACGCAGTTAAACTTTAATATATTTTAGCTGATATTAGTAAACATTTGCTCTTAGGAATAACCATTTGATTGTCATATTTTGAAAATCAGTTGATTTTCTTATTTTGAAAAATGCTAAGTTTAAAATGCTGTTGACTACATTTTAGAGAATATCGAGTTGATGAACTTGGGTATGATGTAAGACAACATTTTAGATTAATTTTAAATAAATTTGTCAAATATATCATTTGCTTTAGATAAAATTGTCAAAAGTTATTAGAGATATTAAAAATAATTGCACACGCGAGTAATAAAGACATGATAATATTTAACCCTTTTTCCTGACATTTAGTTTTAATTAATATTATAAAAAAGATATCATAATGAAAAAAAAAATAGACTGAGGGCTGTAATATTCAAACTTACTTGAATTCTAAGTTTTCCATTGTAATCAGTCCACATAAAACAATAATCTGCGTTAGTTAAGTCACCTCTATCGGAAAATCCCACAGCTATCCAGGAATCCGGATATTCTGAAGGAGGTGTTACCTCGAAGTATATCAAATGTTGCTGTCTCACAGCCCATAATAAGTGTAAAGAACCAGAAGAATCCAATGCGATTTCGTGAGCTTTTGCTAAAAATAATAATTAAGTAACTAAATGTAACGTTTTTCAATTTTCTTCTTCCCGGAGGGTAGGTTATAGTAAGTTTTGCATATTTTTACGTTTCAAGACTTCCTTACGTTTCAAGAATTATTTGTCGTCGATTTCAAAAGCACTGATCAACCAATATGAATTAATTAAAAAGCATTCGATTTCTATTGAGAAAGAAATATGTTGATTATGTTTTGCATAAGGCATGTCTAACCGTTTAGAAGATACGGAAACAATTCGCCTTAAGCACGTTGCCAGTAATTAACCAATTTTTTATCATTGATACAATTGATACCTTTACAACTAAAACGTAAAAATTGTACATAAGATAGGGTCGGGCACAAAGGTCCAATTTGATTTTGAGCAGAAATAACACGTATTAAAGAAACAACTATTTGACTATGTTCAGTAACTCCCATTAAATTTATAATTGCAAAAATATATTTTTTGTTGTTTTTTTAAATTTATCATCTGGTCCTTTTACCCGGAATAAAATGAGACGGCCAGTTGCCATAAACCCCTAGTATGAACTTGTATTGTTTATAAAAGATTAAAAATATTATTTATACTTTATACTTTCGTTATTATGAAGTCCGACGTAGATGTTAGCAAAAATGGGAAGTCTCCAGGATATGATTGGAAATCCAATAGAATTATCAAATGACTATATGAGAAGTCAACGAATTTAAAACGTTACTTAATTAACTAGGAGGTAAAAGGTACTTAGGTTGTTAAGAAAAATAGGTATAGCATCCTAGCGCATAAAAAATGGTAAAAATAATTTTATTCCTAAAACCTGTATCAAATATAGAACAAATGAAATCTTAGAGGTCTTATTTAGGGTTCTATAAAGTCCACACTTTTTAAAGCTCCGGCATTTGGGTCAGTGTCGTAAAAAGTTTTTGAAAGATTACTTTAAATAAAATTATTAAATTATATACATACTTCAAAATTTTAGAAAGCTGTACTCTATAGTGATGAAGACTTATAAAATTTAAAATTACATAAATATAATAATTAAATCATAATTGTTAAATTAAGAAATATTTTTGGCTTAATTATTTCAATGATGAAGACACAAACAATTTAAAATTACACAAATGTAATAATTAAATCATAATTGTTAAATTAGAAAATATTTTTGGCTTCAAAACCTTTCTTATTACCATCCCGTAGATCAAAAGCATGCATTATATGTTGTCTTCGTCGTCTCATAGTAAAAATAGTTTGAAACTTTTGAAAGAAAAACCAATTGTTTAAAATATTTAGTTTATTAATTCTATTTGAAGCTAAACACTTACTTGATATATTTTCATAGCACCGCGCTGGCGAAGTGCAAATCCAGTAAATACACAATGCATAAACTAAAAGTAACATTATTATTTATTGTCAGTGTTGGCTTGATCTGTAGTTCAAATGAATTTCATTTTAATCCGTCAACTTACCATATTTATATACTTTTCCCGGAGAGTACATGGAAGGAGCGTATCAAGGCATGCGCAAATACCAGATTAGAGAAATATTTAAACAAAGTTATGCTTATAAATACAAATTATTAGATAATTTATATAAATTAAAGAAAATATAACATTCTTTGCTATAATAATTTAACTTGTTTTGTGTACGCATTGCAATAATTATCAAACAAAATACTATACGGATAATAAGATACGGAAATATTTTACGATAATTGAATTGGTTGAAAATTTTGGAGATTCTTAGACTATAAATAATAATACTGTACACCTTTTGCGGTTTAGTTAACATTTTCTAATGCTTTATCATGCTATACAATATATAGTTTTTAACATAAAATTAATATGATTATATAATATAACTAAAACAAGTACTTTTTAGTTTTAGATATGACTATATTTGCACCTATTTTCATTTTGGATTAATTTAATAGGTAACTGTCTGTACATTTGACACATTAAGTGCTCGTATATTTTGACTCATTAAGAAGGCAATTAATAATAATAAATAAATTTTTGATTTGTTTAATTTTTAGATTATATTAATAGTTGCAGATTACTTGAATTTCCTCGAAGTTACTACTACTTATTGAAGAAACCGCGCAAGGCGTAGCTGGCGTAGCCCATCGTAGCACTACAGCAGGCCAGGCTCACTCGCCGCACCATATGTATCAATGACATATACAAGTATATATAAGACTTTATTGATTCTGTTTTTTTCAATATTTAGTATAACCAACATAGTTTTAGTTTTTAGACCAAATCATTTCATCACCTGTACCGATATTTTCAGCTTTTGTTTAAATAAAACATTTAAATACAAGTAAAATAAATATGTAATATTGTTTTACGGTGGGTGAGCACAACAAAAAATATCAGGCACCGAAAATAGTTAAAAAGGCAGAAACAGGAAAATCCGATCATAAAAAAATCTGGCAACATGATCTTCTTTTTATTCGGTGTCTCAAGTAAAATAATTTGAAGAGAGTTGGCGGTTCTCATATTATGCATACTCTATTCTATATATAATATAGTAAGATGACTATATTTTTGTAACCCTCCGTCGGTCAGATATTTTTTCACCTTCGAACGGTCGGAAAGGTCTGGCTGGACCACCATTCATTTTACATGCGTTTATATGGGATAAATGAGTTTTTCATGTCTTATATATCAACGATATATATTAAATGTTTATAGTTTTGATTTTTTCTTTTTCTTACCGTCTTTTGCATGTGTTGAGCTTGCTTATAATAAAAATATTACATATTATCTTCTTATATATAAAAATGGAGCTCTTTTTCAAATGTCCGAATAAAACTCGAAAACGGCTGAATCGATTTGGCCATTCTTAGTCTTGAAAAATTCGTGCCAATCCAGAGATGGTCGGAAAGGTGAGAAATTATTTCAAAATCGCGTAGAAACTTTACATTTTTAATTTGAAAATTTTTGTTGAAGCGTAATGTAAATAAAACAATGGACGGTGGCATTTCGTAAAATGTCAAACGCTTTTGACAGATGATGTTCAATTACGTTTAATAGGATGTTTTACGCTAATATTATTTAATCATGATAAATTTGGTAAATAGTTTTGTTTGTAGTTTTATTTATATACAAAAACGTTAGTAAATGGGTCGCAAGTGTTATTAGAGACTCAAAATATCACTTTTTTGAAATGTTAATATGAAAATGCACTTCTCTCAAACACGGTGCTCTAAAAGATATCATTTATATAATTGTATACTCATTGGTATTTATAAAATATTTTCTAGGTTATATTATTTTTATTTATGTTATTTAAATTCAGAACCTAAGTTTGGTATCGATCAAATGGACATTTTGTCGAATAACATTTTTCCAGTTATAATTTTCCAGAATTTATCGCAGAATAGATAGTAATATATGAAGGTCCAGCGGGATTAAAAAGATCCACCACCGATGTGCCAAAAATCAGTAAAGTTAAGCATTGCTTAACAACAATATTTGAAAGTAGAGGAAAAAAGATGTATAGCCAGCTACAACCTTGATTTGAGAACGATATGCTACAACCTTGATTTGAGAACGATATTCTTTTGAGAACGATATTCTTTGAATTGGGGGAGATAAACGGTAATCTTTGAAAATCCATAATAAAAGTATTTTCTTCCCGTTGTAAATAAAATGTAATTATTTTGTAAAATACCTTTAAAATTATAATAAGGCTTTAAAACCTTTTGCCACCTGCCCGTTACAAGTTCCCCGCATATAGGATAAAAAGGTCTAGGTAACAAATTTTTGAAAGACGTCAAAAAAGCACATTTCTACAATGATGAAGTAGAAGTCAGTTTACTGAACGTAGTCAGATAATTGTTCGTTTGATATGTGTTATTTGTTGTGATATAATTGTTATGGTTTTCACAATATAGTTTATATTTGCTCAAAGTCAATTTGGACCTTTGGGTCTCACCCTTCTCTACATATATACTTTTTATTAAATTTCCTTTAATTCATCGAATGTAACTTGAAAACTTTTCAAAAACAGCAGTCAAAGAAGAAATACTTAATTCATTTTTTATCTCTCCTCCTCGCAAAAATTTGAAAATTTTGTATAAACTCAGTAGTATTATTTACAATTATACACAAAATCCAGAATCCAAAAACAATATGAAAAACTTGAAACGTAATCAATTAGTGGAAAGACCAAAAAAGACTTGGATGGTTTATACTATTTCCTATAGAAAGTGTATAAATCTTCCAGTTTAAATAAACCAATGGAACATATAGGAGTTCTGATTGCTGTTCAAACAATAAAACTAACTGTAAGTGGAATTCTGTCTTAAGGCAATTAAGGCATCGTGCCTTAAGGCAAATTGCTGGAACTTCCCGTACCAAAATTATTATTTTTTTAAAAACGATTACCATTTTTGAAAAAAATATACTTTGAAAAGATAAGATTTTTGAGAAACTATAAATTGGACAAAAATTACTTTTTTTTGAAAAAAAATTAAAAAAAAAATTTTTTTTAATTTTTTTTTTTTTGAAAAAATTTTTTTTCTTTATTTTGACGCGTAAGCATTGGTACGGAACCCATAGGAATGTTAACAAAATGTATACTGATTGTTAAAATCTCTATAAAATATCTGATAATTTGATGTGCATATGTCTAATAATCATTTTTGACCGCCAAATGGCTCATTTTTTACTTTTTCCTCCATATCTCCGAAACCGCTAGACCTACCATCATGAAATTTTACCGATTCTTCATCTTGTCAATACAAGTGAAATGTTTTTTGAATTATTCAAATCGGACACTCCGTTCTCTTAAAAACTGAGTTTCCGTTTTGGGCACTTTTTGCCCGCGTATCTTCGGAACGGCTAGACCTGCCTTCGCCAAAAACATCAGCACGTCTCCTTATCAATACGAATCGAATGTTTTCTGAATTATTCAAATCGGTTGATTCGTGTTCCCGAAATCGTCGACGAAAATTTGTATCCGCACATACATACACACACACATACATCCATTTTTTCTAAGGTATGCCAAAATGTTCAGAAACCTTTGAAACGTAAAGATATAAAAAAATTTTCATTTTTGATTTTTTTGCGATTACTATAACTTGCCCTACGGGAGTTAAAAAAATATAGGCTTCGGATTATCCGGAATTCGGATTATCCGGATATCCGATTATCCGGAATTCGGATTATCCGGAATCGGATTATCCGGAATCGGATTATCCGGAATTCGGATTATCCGGAATTTTTTATCCGGAATTCGGATTATCCGGAATTCGAATTATCCGGAATTCGGATTATCCGGACATTCCCTTATCCGGACATCCGATTATCCGGACATCCGATATCCGGACATCCGATTATCCGACATCCGATTATCGGACATCCGATTATCCGGACATCCTATTATCCGGACTCCGATTATCCGGACAACCCGATTATCCGGACACCGATTATCCGGACATCCGATTATCTGACATCCGATTATCGGACATCCGATTATCCGGACATCCTATTATCCGGACATCCGATTATCCGACATCCGATTATCCGGACATCCGATTATCCGACATCCGATTATCCGATATCCGATTATCCGGACATCCGATTATCCGGACAACCGATATCCGGACAACCGATTATCCGGACACCGATTTTCCGGACCCGATTATCCGGACATCCGATTATCCGGACATCCGATTATCCGGATCCGATTATCCGGACGTCCGATTATCCGGACATCCGATTATCCGGACATCCGATTATCCGGACATCCGATTATCCGGCATCCGATTATCCGGACATCCGATTATCCGGACATCCTATTATCCGGACATCCGATTATCCGGATATCCGATTATCCGGACAACCGATTATCCGGACGACCGATTATCCGGACAACCGATTATCCGGACATCCGATTATCCGACATCCGATTATCCGGACATCCTATTATCCGGACATCCATTATCCGGACATCCGATTATCCGGACATCCGATTATCCGGACATCCGATTATCGGACATCCGATTATCCGGACATCCGATTATCCGGACATCCGATTATCCGGACATCCGATTATCCGGACATCCGATTATCCGGACATCCGATTATCCGGACATCCGATTATCCGGATATCCGATTATCCGGACATCCGATTATCCGGACATCCGATTATCCGGACATCCGATTATCCGGACATCCGATTATCCGGACATCCGATTATCCGGACCCGATTATCCGGACAACCGA